TGTGTGTGTGTGTGTGTGTGTGTGTGTGTGTGTGTAAAAACTTTACCGTCATGCCCTTCTTAATACAGTTTATTAATGAGATGAGTTCTCAGCTTGCTACAATCACATGAGCACACTTAACCACATAGAGATTTTGTTTGTTGATGCTCGGGAATGTTTGAATTGAGGGTGATGGGATGTGGGAAATACAAACATCAGTCTGCAGTTTGAAACTCTGACAGGATTATCTAGGATGTCGTTGAAACTACTTCATCCTCATTCCTAGCCTCTTTATAAGAAGAGGGAAGCCAAACACTTGTTGGATTTTTGATAGACATGTGACTCATCTGACTCATACAACCAGAATTAAGGAAAATATCACCTTGACTTAATAGAGAAGAATGTAGCTTCTAAAAATGACAGCGTTGATTAATTTTTTTCCACAACTAAGGTTAGGTTGGCTGCTTCCACTCTCAGCGTGAATAGTCTAATAGCCCGTTAGCCACGCACATAAACTCTGTAATAGCGTGATACAGATCAGTAAACATTAATGGATACTTTTGTGCCTTTATTAATGGGGGGTTTCTGAACAAGATTCTTATTTTGTGTGTTTACTGTTATATGAATGTCACATTCAGCACAGCTACTTTCTTCCACTCTTCACCCCTGTGCAACTTTGTTAGATTGATTAGGATTAAAGGGTTTTGTTAAGCGATGCCATTAGAGTGGTGGCTGACGTAAAGAAGAGCTTTTCATTCCTATTCAATACAGTGAATTGTTTGTACAACAGAATTTATCTGATTATTTAACACTTATGATCTTAATATTTAATGCAGAAATATTTTAGTTTGATCCCATTCAGCTGTGACATTTATGGAACGCATATAAAGGTCTTATTATTCATTATTCTTATTGTGTTATTAATTTTCCAGAGCTCACTCTTGCTCAACTAAAGCCTGACATTCAGATGATGAAAAGAAGCTTAAGTTGCGTAGCTGTGGAAGGATATTCTTTTGTACATTTATATTTTCTCTATTCTCTGTTTGATTTTTGCTTCTAGCTTTGATCAAGTTCATCAGGCCAGTGTTTGTATCACGGTCAGATCAGGACTCCAGAAAGAAGACTGTTGAGGAGATCAAACGCAGAGCTCACTCAGGGGGGGAATGGCCTCAGGTAAGTGAACGGATCTCTTACAGATGCAAAATTACCAAATCCATGTAACACAACACCTGATTTTTAACATTAACCCTCAGCAGATAATCTTCATTGAGGCACATTTAATGAAGAGAAGTCCGAAATTATGAAATAAACACTAACTCTAGTGACTCTATGGCAAGAAATAAAAACAAAAGGTTATCTGCTACTTTTTATGACAGCAAAATGGAACACAATTCTCAAATAGCATTCTTATACATACAAAACCAGGGTTTAAACACAAACCGCAATTGTAATTCTACATGAGAACGCTGCTGAAAACTCAAATCCAGCATTACTGAAAACAGTGTTGGACTAATAGCTCATCTGACTTAGTTTAACTTGCATTATGTTGCAAATTAATGAAACTATACATACAACTTGCTGCCCAAACTTTATTTTCCAATGTATAACCCCTTGTCCTCTCTTTCCAACAGATAATGATCTTTCCAGAGGGAACATGCACCAATAGATCCTGTCTAATCACCTTTAAGCCAGGTAGCTACTCTACGGTCTCTTCTGTCCTCTTTGAACTGTCTTCTCCTCTTTTGAAGCCGGATGTTTCTGTCGAATATGATGTGAAAATTTAAAACTAAGTAACCTGTAATTTTCCATAAGACAAAGACCTTGAATATACACATTGAAAAATTGGTATCAAACAGAAATGTGACTTTTATTCAACTTTCAACAACACAAATGTTCTTGTTCTCAACCCAGTTTATTTTTTATACAGACATGTTGAATTGAAATATTATTTACTCTTATAGGGGCTTTCATCCCAGCTGTTCCAGTGCAGCCTGTGGTGATCCGTTACCCTAATAAACTGGTAAGATTCATAATTGCACAGTTATTTGTATAAAATTCCAATTCACGTGTAGTTTTGAGGCGAATAGTTCAATAATCTGAAGTAACACTTATGACGCTGATAGTTTAGCCCATGCCAATAATTATATAAAGGTTGAATAATCATATAAGGTTTTTATTAGGAAAGCATTAAATTACCCTGTTCAAGGTTCAGCAACTTAATGCAACCCACTTTATGACCAAC